TTAATTGATTAGTTGTCAACTATGAAATGAATTTCCAACTATTTTGATGATCGATTTATCATTTTGAGTCAGAAGAAATGTCCAAATTCTCAGATTTCAGCTTCTCAAATGTGTAATGTGAATATTTTTGGGTTTCTTTTGACAGCAAACTGAATATACCTTTGGGTTGTGGACAAAACAAGACATTTGAGACCATCAGCTTGGGCTTTCTGGAAACAGTAATCAACATTATTTATCGCATTCAACTAATCCATTTGATCAACTGAGATTCATCAATAATGAAAATAGAGTAGAGTAGAGAGTAGATGCAGCCATACGCTAAATAAAGCACAGACAATCCAGTTAGAAAAAGTGTGCGATTCTTTTGTCAACTGAGGAGACAAAACATATAGCTTTGAATCATTTTGTAAGATAATGCATCGGTTTTTGAACACAGCTGGTAAACTAATTTATCTTGAATGAAACTCATCATACACACGGACAAGTGTGTGTGTGTGTGCATGTGTTTGTGTGTGTGTGTTTGTGTGTCTGCCTTTGTGTCTGGACATCATAGTGAGCGCATTCGTGTGGGTCAACTCCACTAGAGACAGAGTGGAGGGAGTAGAGCTGTGTCAAATAGAGCGGTGACCCTAATAGCAAATCACACACATGAGCGCACACATGTCCATTTCCTCAAGGGAGCCAGCCAACACATCTTAAGAAAGCCGGGAGTGTCTACACGCAAACATTATTAAGTATCACTGCAGTTTTACACCAGCACACAGATGCAAGCACGTACACACACACACACAGCCACACACGTAGATAAGGGATAAGGAGCAGACCCATCGATCTGCTGAATAGTGGACATACTTGGAGCTAACATGGTTAAAGTAACCTTTGTCTTCACCCTCTACCCTCTTACTGACCCACTAATGTTAATTACAGCTGGAATTAGCCAACAACCCCCCCTCTCTGCTATAGCAATGACCTCATTACCACCACAACACACACACTTTCAAACCCACGCACACACATATGCCACAGGAAGAGCAAACAAACAACCAAAGCAGTAAACACACTCATAAAAAATGTATCTGTGCAACGTACCAACGTGCAAATGATTGTGAAGAAAGAATAAAGGGGGCGATCGGATCTGGAGAGTTTGTTCACTGAAAGTAACGTAAATCTCGTATTCACAGATGTCAGATTAGATGTCTGCCTTCTGCCTGCCAGCTTTCACACATGTGAGTAAAAACAGGCAGCAGGAAGCTGTACAGCGATGAACAGTGAGAGAAGAAGATATATGAAGGGGAAGAGAGAGCGAGGGAGAGACACTGAACACGAGCCAAATCTTTTACAAAGTAAGTGAACATGAAGTGGAGATTGGAGGCTGCTATATGAAATCATGTAGGCTGTCAGACAATCAGGACGTTTTCCTTCTGCGTGTTTTGAAAATGTACCATCAGAGTTAAACACTACAAAGTTTTTGTAAAAGCTATTCCAGGTTTTTTTGCCCCTGCAAGTTGATGAAAAGCCTCTTTTTCCCTCAGTTTGTCACAAGCTCCCACAAAAAAACACAGATAGATAACACATAACCTGTCAACCTACATCAACCTACATCTAACTGCTCTGACAGGTCGAATGTGTGTAATCTATACAATTAACACGCACGCAGCTTCAGACACGTACAATAAGGCACGTAAGATGTATGCTTTTCTTTAATGTTCCCGTTTCCAGTATTACTTATAATTTTTTTCATTTCCACTATTTTCCTTTATGTCTCTGGCTACACTTAATGTATTTACATGTCATGCCGATGAAGCAAATTGAAATTGAAACAAGCAGAAAGGGAACGAGAGATGAAGAGGAGTAAAAGCTCAGATACTGACAGGCTGTGTGTGTGTGTGTGTGTGTGTGTGTTGATGAGATATTGCTATATAAATGGATCAGCTGTTGTTGTTTATTGCTACACATGAATTCATCCTCTCTCACCCTGAAGCCTGTCTCCCTGTCTGTCCGGGAGGTGAGACCTGAGCTGTCAGGTATCCCCGCAGTAGTATGAAATCATTTCAAATAGCACCCAGCCCACTTTTCAGTTAGTACACAATAAGTCCTTTAGTGTTTTGTACCAACATAAATACATGCAGATAGATTTCAGTAGTGTTTCAAAGTGGCAGGAGCCTCGGGGGGCTGCTGGTATCAGGAGTCCCATTAATTTCCTCCATAGAAAATGTTAGGTGACTCACAGTAAGAGCATTTGGACCATGAAGAACTCTTGGTTGAATCATCAAAATAAAAGAGATGTGTGTGAGAAAAGATCACTGCAATTCTCAGGGTGTTTTTTGAAGGAACAGTCACTGAGTTGTGTGATGTGTGCTGCTCATCATGTCGGGTGGAAGCTAAAGATTAGTTGAGAAAACGGATATTACAGTCAGCATCTTAAATTGATTGACTTTTGCATTCTGCGTCAATTTTAGATGAATTCTGCAACTATGGCGTTTTGTTGTCACCTGTAACAACGACCTGCTCCGAATTTCCCATGGAACTGATTCACGCTTCTGGCATTTTCTCCATGGCAACAGCAGCCGAGGGTAGTGTAGTATTTAGAGCTAAATGAACTAAAACATTATTGGTGGCCACAATAAAGTAAAATTATCATTTTTTTTCTGGTTGGAGAATTCCCACAGACAGTAAAGTATCTCTGGAGGTTTTAGGATAGTGAGAAGTGTGAAGGGACAATAACTGATCCATTTACAATCAATTTACGATATCAGAGCGGTAGAGCAGTTTACATGATCAATTTCATCAGTGACACTGAAGGAGCGATGCAGCGCTGCAGCCCCACAGTGTGTGTGTGTGTGT